TCAACCATCATCAACCAATTACCCCATCATCCTCTTTGGTTTTTTCGGTAAAGTCACGTAGGTAAAATAAAATAAAACAACTAAATAAAATCACGACGTTTCGGAGGCAACACAAGCTTCCGTCTTCAGATGGAACAGTCACAGCAGAATATCTGTGTCAAGTGGACAGCTCTGAGACGGCCGGGAGGAAGGTTAGCGTCTCGATGAGCTGTGACTTCTTTTCTCGTCTGTTAAAAGCTCTAACAGATAGATGGAAATCCTCCCCATAGAGGTAATTAATTCTAGATTTGAAGCTCGCGTGACTGCAAGGATTCATACTCTTTGTTTTTTTCGGTAAAGTCACGTAGGTAAAATAAAATGAAAGAAAACAACTAAATTAAATCACGACGTTTCGGAGGCAACACAAGCTTCCGTTTTCATCACCCAATCACCCCATCATCACCCAATCACCCCATCATCAACAAATTACCGATCATCTTCATCCAATCAACCAACAACCAATCAACCATCATCAACCAATCACTCCATCACCCATTCACCCCGCCACCCAATCACCCCATCATCAATCAATCACTCATCATCCAATCACCCATCATCACCCAATCACCCTATCATCGCCCAATCACCCCATCAAGCAATCACCAAATTACCCCATAATCACCCTCATCATCACCCAATATTAGCACATCACCAGTCGCCCACTTAGATTGCCATGTGTAGCTCGTCTCACACGACTCTGCCTGCGCATCGGAGGTGGCGCGCCATCACGAGATTGGCGAACACATGAGATGCACCATCACATCTGACATTCCTTATTTCATACTAAGGTTGAAATGCCCGCTTCTACGTTTCATCAGCGGCCACCTCTGGTTTGCAAGTCCAGTGTGCTGACCATTAAACTACCATCACAGCATCCATACATATCTCCGCATAAGCATATAGCATACTGTAATTGTGGCGAATTTCAGCTTTATAACTCTTATCGAACATCTGAAGACCCTACCTCTATCACACTCAGTCACCGATCGTATATCTATGATTATTACTACTACAGTCTGAAATTGCTCTAAGAGGATGTTCTTGGTCGTCCACCACTACCGCTGCTGTGCACGCACGCTCATGCACACTCTCCCCACGCACTTCCACATCCGCCACCGCTAACCAAAGCGGCATATGTATGTTGATTACCTGTGAACAACCCCACCAATAACAGATGTCCATTGTATTTCACATGAATACAGTAACCCCCTTCTGGTCTTCGTGCCTGATTGAGCTCACAAGTAACGACATCACATTCACCCCCTCTGTTTAAGACCGAAACGGGGGGATTTCTGCACAACTCTGGCTAACGCCTGATGCTGCTGGTTGTAATTACCGGCGACACATCGGACTCGAATGGTAAATGCTATAGATTTACTCTTCAATACACCGGTTTACTGAACTAGTAACGAATTGGTATTTTATGTTGACCTGACAAACCTTACGAATTGGCTGTGTGGGTGGTGGCGAGTTTAAAGACATTCAAATTTACACAATCTAACCCAAAAAACAGAACCGTGTTGATTAACGGTAATGGGAGGAGAGAATCAAACACCCGCTGCAGTATGGCTTTAGTGCGACAGATGCGAACATAGTCTATGTAAAATTTATATATATATATGGCTGGCTATCATGTAAGCTGTGTTTTTCTTTACGTAAAAGAAATACCCATTTCATATGCGGGGAGCAGCTCGAGAATAGCATTGCATGAACTTCAAATACAAAGATCCCCCGTATAGCTTTAACACACATTTGGGGCAAGGGCTGTTAGCGAGCACAGTTGAAGGCCGGCACGGCACACGAGGGGGTGGGTGGCCAGCACCACGCCCGACCGCCTTTGTCTCCCTAGTGGCCATGGGAAGGCCCAGAACTGGCTCATATAATCGTTGCCGGTGTTGGCCGTGACCGCTCCCCACTAACCTCTTCCAGGCGAACACAAGCACAGTGCACGAGTTCGAAGAAAATAAGAAAACACAGATGACTAGAAATGTCTCAACTTTTTTTTTTTTACAAAGTAGCTTTATTTTTTTGTAACAGTAAAATCCCGTACGGGGTACGGGTTTCATATTGCTTAAGCAGTTGCAATCATATCATGCAAACGTGACAACTGTGTATACATAGTTAAGCAACAAACAATTGGAGAACACCTGATTATTGAATAAACATGAAATATATTTGTTTCTGTGGAAAGCTATACGCCGCAGAATAAAAAACAATGTAACATAGGTATATATGTTTTTTCAACAACTACATTTATATATTTTTTTGTTACGGACACTAGGAAGCACAACACAAAGCACGCGTATGGGACCGTCCATAAATGACGTCACGCGATTTTGGACGCTTTTTGACCCCCCCCCCTCGTCACACGGCGTCACAAAAAGTCAGACCCCCACCCTCAAATATGACGTCACAAAGCTCTGCCCCCCCTCCCCCCCCAAAAAAAAATAAAACATGCTTCAAATCGCTTTAAACTATTGTCATTGTGGTGCGTATTTAATGTGCCGCTGCACTCTGATGTTGTAGGATAAAACATGTATTAAAAAGTCTATTTAATTAAGTAGAACGTGTTGTCTATATTTATTTAAAGTTGCGCATTTTGATGTGACGTCACATTTCTCACCCCCCTCCCCTCGTCACACATCGTCACAAACGTCCGACCCCCCCCCCCCCCCAGGTGCGTGACGTCATTTATGGACGGCCCCTATCAGGAAACGTGATACTGCTCGATGGGTCTGCCATCGTTTCGTAAGTTGTCTACAGCCTACGAAGGAGCATTGGCAAGGGGGAATCAGTGTCGCGCGTGGCAAGCTTTAGGGAACAGGCGCCTTCCCCGGCACCTGCACTGTGTGGAGCATTACCGGTCTCGTGAGTGCGTGGTAGCAACTCATTAGCAGCGACTGTTGACAGGGAACTAAGCAGACTTTGTTGTCGCGTCACGAGCGAGGTGGGTCAACATCCATCGGCAACGTCGACGGCAGAGTTGGTCAACTCAGTCGTTGCATCGTTCTCGGTGAGGGCGATCGAAGTGACCGAGTTTCTCTGTCGTGCAACGGGATGGTGAAGTTGTCGACTAGGTGAGCGTTTGTTTAACACGTAGGGTTTGTTTAACACGTAGGGTTTGTTTAACACGTAGGGTTTGTTTAACACGTAGGGTTTGTTTAACACGTAGGGTTTGTTTAACACGTAGGGTTTGTTTAACACAATAGGGTTTGCCGAAGTTTGCTTAAAAGAGTCAACCCAAAGACAGTTGAGCGCTGCTTTTTAGTCTTGCAAAACAAACTCAATTCGTCGAGAGCAGCTGTGGCCTTAAAAGGAAAAGATAATAGGTGTGAGATTTCAGGAAATGGCCCTTCTTCGTTTCTTTAAAACTGCTTCTCGTGTTTCGTTTGTTGTCCTACCCCCAATCCTCCGATTGGCACGGTTGGTTGGTACGGTGCGAAATAAGTTCAACATACATTGAAACGCCGCCTATTATGTATCATTTGCCTTTTAAGGCAGTGCTATTGAGTGAGCGGGAACGTTTGCCATCTGTCCTTGTAGCACCACTGCCAACGCAGCAATCGCCAGCTAATTGGAGTCTCGTCGGCTCGGCGTGAAGTCCGCAGCCTGGTTCCGGCACGAGCGATGCTCGCTCAAACCTGCGATCATCGCATCCGCTTAAAACGCGTAGGCAAAAAAATAAAACTCCACGTCAGGATGAGATAACTCCCCGTTGCTTGAAAAAAAATATTTTGAAAAAAACAATTTTCCTCGTTAACCGATGTTATACTTTAGCGTGCGAGCCGTGCAGAACTCGTCAACTTGAGACGGTGGGTGAACGTTTCATTAATTGATCTCTCTCGGGGGCTATGAGGGTGCACATGTCCCCCCCCCCCCCTCCTTGGGGAGTGGAACTTTCTAAACTGCTGCCTCCCTCACCAAGAAGGGCCCCCTACCCCCTTCCTCCAACACCTTCCCCGTCTCCCCTTGGGAACGAGTGGCGGTGCCACCGATATGGCGTCGGCAATCTTGGCCGATCTCTCCGCAATGGTCCGATACCGGAGAGCAGTCCACTAGCGATAACGCGGTGGGGGGACTGTTTGTGGCATGCGGGCGGTAGTTTTTTTTGTTTGTTTGTTTGTTTTAGCTCCAAGGCTTCGCGAAAACCCTCCAGGTCCCTCGCAATCCCACTGTACTTGCCGCCGTTCCACTGCACTCACGAGGTTTTCCTTCATATGCACCAATTTGTTTTTGCCGATGCCAATCGATTCGTTGAGACATTGCGCACGCCTCGTTGCAATAGTCCCCTCGGTTAACGTTTTTAATCCGTTCCACGACAACCACTGTTAACCAAAATAATTGAATCGAATACAAGAATTGCATGTTGAAAGCATTCATCCATTCCAAGACGATCGGAAGTTTACCTTTTTAACCCTAAAAACATAGTTCATGAGGCTAATTACTTTCCCACTTCTCTTGGGATTTCACTTTAGGGGCAATTTAAATCACCATTAATTCACTTTTAAGTTGAAAAATAAGCAAAAATCACTGAGTCTGCAAGAGCGTTGTTTTCCACTGCCAAAACAAAAAACGTAATGGAAACAAATCCAGTTGAGCTCTAAACCGCTCATAAATCGCCGTCGCTGCTTGGCTAAGGTCAAGGCTCAGCCCCAATTACGAGCGCTTGGATTGGCCAAAATTGGCGCCCGCGTGCATAACGTAAACATACCACGAGTGAAAATTGTAACGTTAGTTGAAACCATGGAGTCCCGATGGGAGGCGAAACGTTAACCGAAAAAAACCTCAACCGATGTCATCACTGTAAACAAACGACGGTGCTCGCGTCAACCGTGACACACGCTCGCAACTTATGGACGTAAAACACAGATAACATATCTTATATTCTTAGCTCTTTTGGTAAAGTCACGTTGAAGGGAAACAATAAAATAATATATATTTTATTATTTTATTGTTTCCCTTCAACTTTACTTTACCGAAATAGCTAAGAATATTAATTACTGCAGTCACGAAAGCTTTAAATCTAAACATATCTTATCTTGATTCGAAAAAAGAAACCACGTCGAAACCGGTCCAGAGCTCCACTTATCTTGAATCACTGCTGTTGAAACGATGCACTCCCAGAAGACTGTGCGGCTGATGGGTTGCGTTAGAAATGTATTTATTTTACGTAGAGATACGGATATATGGAGACATCGCTTATTGATCTTGACTTGAATCAGCCCTCTGCACGTCACACGGCACACACGGACGGCCGTTCTGAAAAACCGAGACTGCTCCGGTCAAACCAGGACGATTGGTATAACTTTCATGTAGACACAACTACAACAATAACAACCGCCATTCGCCACTAAGAGGCGGTGACGTCACGACGGCGCTTTTGCCAGGCTGTGTGCACTTTAAGGCCACGTGAAGTGTAGGACATTCGCTTGCAGGAGGAGATCGCGGGGCAAACCCAGGTACCATGGGTTGAATGACAGATGACTGGCCGATTTAGACACACACACTGACAAATGCACTCCTCCACCGTGACTAATTTGAAATTCGAAGCTCTCTGAGCAAATCGCGTGGAACGTGACTTATCACGCGCAGCGTTGCGACCTCTGCTAGTCAAAGGCACTCTGCAGCCCCTTGGAGTGGTAGATGATGTAGAGCAGCACGCACGTGATGAGCACGTGAGCGGCGCACACTCCGAGCGGACCGTAGCGCGACAGGTCGTGACAGAACTCAAAGACGATGGTCCGTGCCTCAATTCCCTTCTCCATGGGCGATGTGCTCGGGGTCACGCTGCTCTTCGGATTTGGCATTTCCTCCTCCGGCACGTAGGGCGCGAAAGTGGGACACGCCATAAGGCTGCCCTCTTTTTTTATTTCTCTCACAGCTTTGCTGCCTTGTTCGCATGTTACGGCGTCGGGGTGATTGTGGATATATTTACGTGCCATGTGCACGCGATACGTGCCCTCTGTGTGCGCGTACCATTATATACGCACCGTACGCATACACGACCGCCCGCAGATTGCTCACGTCAAGCTCACGCGCGCCTCTGAGCGCATTTCGCTTCATCCATTCCCTCGAGCGCAGACTCCAACCCCCACCACCGAGCGCGGTGTCCGCGGGAATCCCAGATGGCACGGAGCTCAAGGACTTTCCTTGGCAGTCCACTTTCCTGCTCTTGTAATCGCACGTGCACTTGTGAGTCGACCCAGGATCGCAGAATGCCTTCCACTCGGGGGGCAACGGCGGCGCTTTCGTCTGGGCGAGGCAGCCGCGGAAGAGGACAGAGAGCAGCAGCGCACACTCGAGCCACGGGCAGTCGCGTCCCATCGCCTCCTGATGCGAGCCTGCGTTGCACCGCGTGCATGGGGTTAGATAGGCCTCTTTGTGAGAGGAACGGAGCAGGAAGAAAAAGAGGCGATGCACCGTGCGGGTTGCTTTGCGTGACGCGTGTGTGCGCACATCCGCGAGAGACGGGTCTGAAACTAAAGCTACCGAACGGGAGTCACAACCGGACCTGTCAGCCCCACCCACTTCCGCTAACCACGACCACTCCATAAATTAGCCCCGCCTATTTTCGCCACGTCCTCGTTGGGTCCGCCCACTTGAATTAACCACGCCCACTGCCTCACTACCCCCACACCGCTTTCATTAGCCCCGCCCACTCCATCACTCGCCCCGCCCGTGCCTTCACTAGCCCCGGCGACCGCTCATGGGGACCCGCTTCCGTTGCCCCCATTATCATGATGAGACCGTGGGGGCCAGGAAATGCTGCAACCACCGGCTACAGAAATCAGATTATCGCGAATGCTTCGGGAGAAACGAGGGCAGCAGTTCTCAAACCGAGACTGTGCCGGCCAAACCAAAACGATTGGTAGCTTTAATTTAGACAGCACATCCTCGTCATTACATCGAGACAAGTAACATGTTCACGTATAAATAGAGCGAGAGAGAGTGTGTATCATCGCAGCTTAATGTATCATAGCGAAGTCACCGATATCCGTATTATGAGCTATTTAACTGTTCCATAATTTCGCGTAAAGCGCGGTGTTACTTCAGGTCTTACTCATGCACGTTCGTGTCATTGTGTCTAGCGCCAAGTGCTTTTACACAGGCTGCGTGAACATGGCCCGCACTGCATAGGCCCAGCAATAAATTGTGTTCATGCGGCACACGGGTTGTGTTCATTCATATGTGCAGGAATATTATCTCGCACGTTAACATATTATGTTACGCATATTACATATATGTATCACTTGGTACGTGGAGCGTAATTAGTTGTGTGCACAATTGTTAATCAGCCTAATTTTCTCAATAAACTTGATATAATATTCCATTCATTATCGTTATTACAATTCGCTCCATATATTTATATACAAATCAAAAGTGTCGTGTATCCACGTGCGAGTCGGTGTAAGGGCAGTAGGGGTACGGGAGGGGGGATCGTTGTGTTGTGTATGTGCACGTGTATTTAAAAGTAAAGAAACATTACGAGTCACGATCTAGACTTAGTTGTTATTAAAAGTGTTGTTCTACTCTTGCGTACGATGTCAGCCCTTTGGTGAGGAGCTCGATTATACTGGTAGGAACGAAGGTGTAAACTGAGTGTACCAGCCTGCAATAGATTAATGTGTGCGTCCGTCCGTCCCCTTTCAATACTTTAACGAAGTGAAATCTCGTGCTGTTGGGGTGTAAAAATAAAATTGCGCAAAATTCCAATGTTCCTACCAGCCCACCCTGCAGGGACCTGTTGCCAATGGCAAGGTCCTGCTGCTTACTGCTGCTGCTCGCCACGACGAGAGGGTTTCAGCAGAGAGAGATAGAAAGTGTCGTTTGGCCGCTCCTCCGTTGAAGGAGTGCAGGCCACAGTGTGTGAGCCATAGTTTCAGGTTACATTGACAAAATATCATTACCGTGGCTTATTTCATGTATCTCTGGATATCTATCCCTATGTGTCTTTGTGGTTTACTATATCGTCCATAGTTGTCGTTGCATGGACAAAATCGCCAGACTGTGGCTCGTGTCTTTAATTTTCCATTCGTGGAGAAGACGTGCACAGCGGCCTGGTGATGATGATGATGTTCTGATGCGGTTGATTGTTCCACCGGTGTCGTGAGGGAGGAGGAATGTCAGAGCCAGGATGCTTGCGATTATTGTAACTCGTGAGGTGTTCATTCCCTTTATGCTCCTCCGTTACGAACACAATGAGTGGAACCTTGAAGGCCGGCCACGTGTTTTTTCGGCTGTTTCGCTCACGTAACATTCCGGTCCCAATTTAAAAACATTTTAGTCGCCTACATTTATTACATTAAAGCCATTGCCGTGATCTATTATCATTCGTAATTGAGCAGTTGAGGGCTGATAGCCGCTCTGTCTTTGAATTGTGTCACCTAGAGCCACAATCCAACTGCGGATTTACAAAGCGTCCAAAATACGTCTCAAGGCGCACTATATACACAGTGGGCGTGTGTGTTATGAAGATTATTACAGAGGGTGGCGGGTCACTCATAGGCAGAGGAATCAAGTAAGGTGTTGAGTCTGAACTTGGGGCAGGGAGTCAAACAGCCCGATGGCTGTGGGTAGGGTGGATTGGTAGTCGATGCAACACCGCAGGCTAGCACTGGCATCTTTGTGATGCCGGTGCTTCATGTGCGTGCGTAGTTCCCTGCAGTGAACTGCGGGAGAGTTTTATCGTTGGAGTCGCGTTTAATGATCGCCTCGCGTCGTGCACGTACGCGTGTCAGATACCAGTGTGGTGCCTTGCCTGGTTTAAACAAATGGTCGTGGGTAAAATAACAACCAGGAATGCCTATATGGGCTGGAGAAATGTAATTTCCTTATTAAACAACAACAAAGGGTTAACTTGTACACACACACACGTTAACGTAGATTGGGATTCTTTAGCATCAATACGTTGTTTTATATATATATCATTCGGTGCACGAGGAATAAAAGTTGCGCTACAGGATGCGTTGCATCCACGAACTGAATCCAGTACTGCGTGGGATGAATTTGCTGTCCTCCGTCGTGTATAGCCCCACGCTTGTACATATTAAATACGAACGAATAGCATGTTACATTAAATAATAAATTGTGGATTTTGGTTTACTTCCACTGAAGGGGATGGAAGACGCCGACGTTCCGGCCACTTTACACAACATGTATATAGTGATTTTGTCTTTATTTTAACAATTTACTCCCTTTTGTCTGTTCGTGTCATGGCACGAATCGACCATTCGCACTTCTCGTCGAGCAATGAACACCCCGCGTTGGAGAGAACGGTTCGACCGAAAAATTATCCGAGTGGCTTTAAACCCCCATGGAGATCAGAGCAAACTCTGCTCTGTGCTCTGGCTAAGAAGACGATCTGTCGTGTGGCTGGCGATACGTTCGATCATTTTGGTTTTCAGGATCTGGAATGTAGCCGAATCGAGTACAAACCCAATTTTTTTTTATTTTGGCTTTAACATGAAACCTTTTTTTACATATCAGTGCGGTGCTATGGTCACCCATGTCTGTTTAACGTTTCCATAAGGTAATGTTGGAAGTTGTGCTGTGATCAGTTGAAAAATAATCTGCCCGAGCCGATTTGCGCTGCTGCAAATTTAACATTGAGCATATTTAGCATCGATTTATGTTTGTGCTAAATAATTTGTTTCGAGTAATAAAGTCATAATTTGTTCTTGTTCCGATTTTATTTGCTTCCTTGTTCTACCTTATTTTATTTGTTTTTTTCTTTTGTCATGTTTGGTGACCCAGGTAACTCTTGCAATTGATGCTCATTCTGGTCTCTTGAGTTAACTCGGTATACTTGGGAACCCGGTTTAATGACGACCTAGTGTGTCTGACTATAGGTGGCCGGGCTGAAACCATCGGCTCGCTAGATTTGAGAACTCGGATTAATCTCAGGCAGCAGCTAAAGCCCGCATTTTAAATGGTGCCAGCTCTGTGCTCTGACCTCTGGCATCTGAGTCAGATGGCCTTAAGGAATTTACAGCGACCAAGTCGTGAACAAAACGATATCTATGTTTATTTACCAGTTAAGGCCCACTGAGGTATATAGCTCTTTTGTGTGACCTAGCCACAAAAGATAGCTCAACGAGGTGGCTTATCATGTGGACATTTATAGCAGCCACATACTCTGAACGCATGTTGATTCTAAATGTGAAGGGAAAACCCGGAGTATCCGGAGGAAGACTCACGCTAACACGGGGAGAGAGATTAAAACTCTAAATATATATGCATGAGGGTCGGGATCGAACCCACGAACTCTTTCATACCAGGCAAGGTAGTTAACATCTTGCCATCATTTCGAATTAAATGAGAATGCAGGTGCGATCGTATTTACACTGCCCGTGCAGCAATACGAAGGTTACCAATGCTCCCATGAGCCAATACAATGTGCTACTTTGTAGGAAGCCAATAGTATTGGTCATGTGGATGGACTCGCCCCTGCCATGGTAGTGTGGAATTACCATCATTGGCTCGGGGTTCAAGAGAGGAATGGATCGTCTCTCCCCCGTGTTCTCTGAAGCAGGTAATTTTAACTCTCAGTCAATCTATGCATCCCATGTAATTGTTACTTCAGCTACGCGACGTTCAATCTTTATGATACATCCCTAGGGACTGTGTCATGCAAAATGTTTAGAAGCCCATTGAGAATCAAACGCTCGTAAAATCATGTCGAGCAATTGCATTCACTGCACAAGCGATGGTGTGAATTTTGGCTGAATTACCCTACGCAATGACACAAGCGCTGCGTTGTAAGGGTGGTATCGCAGTCGCAATAAACACGAGAGACGAGTACAATGAAGCGAAAGCTCATGCTCACGAGGGAATAGAAATGGAAAGGGCTTTTCGTTGTACCAATTTGATAACGGGGCTCTGAATCGCGCCGGGATATTGTAAATGCGTAGACGGGGATGGATTAAGCCGAATTATCGAGACGTAAGGTAACCCTACTTAATATTTTCGGCACGTCGTGGGCTTTCAAATGACTCCTCGTGCACTGATATCCGTGAAGTGGACGAGGAGGGGTCCTTCTGGCCAGGCATACGGACACTCGGAAAGGGTTTCAGATTAACATTTTCGCAATTCGGATTTTTAAGGGGTTCAATCTCAGATGGATTTTCGTACTTTCAGATATGACATGATAACAGAGCGTCGTGCTTGTGAAATAGTTCAAGAACACTGAAATAAAGTCTGCGTCTCAACTGTTGTACTATACTATGCATGAATGTATATGCTCCCCGCAGGGGCGCAGCTACCTATTTCAACGTTGTAGGGGGGGGGGGGGGCTATGCCATATCCGACTGTGGGCCCCCTCCTTTTTCCAGACTCACTTTTACTGAAATAGCTACGAATTGTTTAACCCGTATAAAATGATATGCAGGCTATAACTATATATACAGGGTGCTTCAAAGAAATGTTAACACTTACATGGGACTATCGTTTTTAATGGAAAAAATAACGGTAACATGATGTAACATGATATCAAATGTCATGTTCATAGCTTCAAAAATTCCCAAGAGCCTCCACTTGTTCGCTATAATTGTCAACACATTCCTGGAATCTTCTCCAGGTGGTCTCCAAAGCCTGGAGGCAGCACATTTCTTTTGGTATTGTTGCAAATTCTCGGAAGTGTTAACATGTTTTTGAAGTACGCTGTATTACTTTAGTTGCACCGTGTATTAAGTTTAGAGGAAGACAGCCTCACGGTGACAGTATTAATAATAATATTTAAAGGAACAATACTCACAATTAAGTTATCGTGCGTCTTGCTTTCATGCCGCCCCCATCACTCTAGGGTTACCTCAAAGGGGGTGGATCGTGAAACTTTCTGCTGCTCTGTTGATACGATAGCCAGATGCGTTAGTGGGGCTTGGTCCACGGTAGACCGCAGGTTATGTTAACTGAATACATTTAAAAGTATCTATTTTTTATAAACATTTAAGTATTCATTTTATTGATTCGGGGCTCCCTTGTGGCCGACTTGGCCCCTTGGCGTCACATCACGGTGCCACACACCCCCAACGAGAGTTGCGTGCCCCTGTCTTCCCCAACCATCGTTGACCACCAGCCCGGTCAAATAGCCCCACCACAACTCCAGCAGTGGATTTACACAGACGGGCTGTGCATGGACACGTACATCGCATGGGCCAATAAAGTCCCCGTAAGCACAAGGAAGCAGGCGAATGTGGAAGATGTGGTCACTGGGAAGCGCTTACCTTAGTGAATCGCTGGAATATTATAACAGCGTTGGCTGTTCCACGTGTGACGACGACTCGTTGAGACGGACGGGCGCGTGTGTGTGTGTGTTGGATGCGTGAGTGAGTGGGAGACTATGAGCGAGGCTTGGTGATTGGGGGACTATGAGCGAGACTGCGTGAGTGAGTGGGAGACTGAGCGAGACTGCGTGAGTGAGTGGAAGACTGAGCGAGACTCCGTGTGAGTGGTAGACTGAGCGAGACTTGGTGATTGGGGGACTATGAGCGAGACTGCGTGAGTGAGTGGTAGACTGAGCGAGACTCCGTGTGTGAGTGGTAGACTGAGCGAGACTGCGTGAGTGAGTGGAAGACTGAGCGAGACTCCGTGTGTGAGTGGTAGACTGAGCGAGACTTGGTGATTGGGGGACTATGAGCGAGACTGCGTGAGTGAGTGGTAGACTGAGCGAGACTCCGTGTGTGAGTGGTAGACTGAGCGAGACTGCGTGAGTGAGTGGAAGACTGAGCGAGACTCCGTGTGTGAGTGGTAGACTGAGCGAGACTTGGTGATTGGGGGACTATGAGCGAGACTGCGTGAGTGAGTGGTAGACTGAGCGAGACTCCGTGTGTGAGTGGTAGACTGAGCGAGACTGCGTGAGTGAGTGATAGACTGAGCGAGGCTCCGTGAGTGGGTGCGAGACTGAGCGAGACTGCGTGAGTGAGTGAAAGACTCTGAGCGAGACTCCGTGAGTGGGTGGGAGACTGAGCGAGACTCCGTAGGCGGGAGGTTCTGAGCGAGACTGCGTGTGTGAGTGGTAGACTGTGCGAGACTGCGTGAGTGAGTGGGAGACTATGAGCGAGATTCCGTGTGTGAGTAGGGGAGACTGAGCAAGACTCCGTGAGTGAGTGGGAGACTGAGCGAGTCTGCGTGAGTGAGTGATAGACTGAGCAAGGCTGCGTGAGTAAGTGGGAGTCTCTTGACCAAGACTCCGTGTGTGAGTCGTAGACTGAGCGAGGCTGCGTGAGTGAGTGGGAGACTATGAGCGAGATTCCGTGAGTGGTGAGGCTCTGAGCGAGGCTCCGTGTGTGAGCGTGAAGCGTATGTAAGATGCTGATAAGTTGGAGCGGTGCAGGCACGTGGTGTAACGGGCTTCTGACCGCACGCTTATCTTGGCTCGCAATGCAGTCACCCCCCAAGGGCATGGCCACGCAATGTGGCCCGCGCTGCAACCTTTTGTTGAATTCTCATTCCTCAGAGTTTCCGTTCCCGCAATGGTTGCGCTTGACAGCGTTAAATCGCTTCGTTTGTCTTGAGGGTGTTTGTTGTTGTTGTTGGGGGCAATCGGTGGGGCTAGAGATATTTGCCATTCGCGACTACTACTTGGCCACTAAAGCACATGTAGAGAGCATTGTGTTAATATCATTCGTCAAAAATACTCCCTTTTTAACGTAAACACGCAGTAATTGGCTGATAACCACTGAATATACATAACAGAGTTTTTTTGGGTACGAGCACGTAAATATAAATGTCTTTAAACCCGCCACCACCTGACACAACCAATTAGTAAGGTTTGTCACGTAAACAGAAGAGGCTAATTCATTACTAGTATAGCACACCGGTGTGGTGGAGAGCAAATCCACAATATTTTACAATTCGTTTTGTCAATAATTGCAACTAGCATCATCAGGCGATAGCCAGATTTGTGAATAAATCCTCTTGTTTTGTTCTTAAATAGAGGTATAAATGTGACGTCGTCACTTGTGAGCCAATCAGGTGCGAAGGCCATTGTAATATACAAATTACAATGGGTATCTTTTACCGCTTGGGTTATTCATATGGCAATCAACACACATTATACATGCACATTATACATGCACATTGTGCTTGTATATCCTGCCGTTGTTTATGTGCACGGAAATCGTAGTACCTGTTCTTTGCTCACAGTTAATCACCTTCGACGTATGGTGCCCTGTGCAGTAAACAATGTATCACTTGCAGTAAACAATGTATCACTTCACGCAGCACTAAGCCTGTAGCTATCCGAACGGTTACAATGATTTATGTTTAACACGTAGGTTGTCGCGACCAATACCCGCCACCACCCGACAGCCAACTAGTAAGGGTTGTCACGTTAACAGAACGTGCCAATTCGTCACTAGTACAGCACATCGGTGTGTTGGACTAGTGGCGGGTTTTAACGACACATTTATATATTTACACGATCTAACCCAAAAACCTCTATTATGGAAAATTATTTATATTTCTCTCAATGTCGATAGATTCTCTAATTAGTATTGACCAGTAGTAACTAGTTTTGCATAGAACTCTCTCTCTCTGAGTCGTCCCCTCTCTCAGTGTCTCGGAGTCGACCTTTCTCTCTCTGAGTTATCCCCTCTCGCTCTGTCTGAGTCATCCTCTCTCTGTCTCTCTGAGTCGTCCTCTCTCTGTCTCTCTGAGTCGTCCCCTCTCTCAGTGTCTCTGAGTCGGCCTCTCTCTCTCTGAGTTGTCCCCTCTCACTCTGTCTGAGTCGTCCTCTCTCTGTCTCTCTGAGTCGTCACCTCTCTCTGTCTCTGAGTCGGCCTCTCCCTCTGAGTTGTCCCCTGTCGCTGTGTCTGAGTCGTCCTCTCTCTGTCTCTCTGAGTCGTCCCCTCTCGCTCTGTCTGAGTCGTCCTCTCTCTGTCTCTCTAAGTCGTCCCCTCTCTCTGTCTCTGAGTCGTCCCCTCTCACTCTGTCTGAGTCGTCCTCTCTCTGTCTCTCTAAGTCGTCCCCTCTCTCTGTCTCTCTAAGTCGTCCTCTCTCTGTCTCTCTGAGTCGTCCCCTCTCTCAGTGTCTCTGAGTCGGCCTCTCTCTGTCTCTCTGTCTCTGAGTCGTCCTCTCTCTGTCTCTCTGAGTCGTCCCCTTTCTCTCTCTGTCTGAGTCGTCCCCTCTCACTCTGTCTGAGTCGTCCTCTCTCTGTCTCTCTGAGTCGTCCCCTCTCTCAGTGTCTCTGAGTCGGCCTCTCTCTCTGTCTCTGAGTCGGCCTCTCTCTGTCTCTCTGTCTCTGAGTCGTCCTCTCTCTGTCTCTCTGAGTCGTCCCTTCTCGCTCTGTCTGAGTCGTCCTCTCTCTGTCTCTCTGTCTCTGAGTCGTCCTCTCTCTGTCTCTCTGAGTCGTCCCCTCTCTCTCTGTCTCTGAGTCGGCCTCTCTCTCTGAGTTGTCCCCTGTCGCTCTGTCTGAGTCGTCCTCTCTCTGTCTCTCTGAGTCGTCCCCTCTCTCTGTCTCTGAGTCGGCCTCTCCCTCTGAGTTGTCGCCTCTTGCTCTGTCTGAGTCGTCCTCTCTCTGTCTCTCTGAGTCGTCCCGTCTCTCTGTCTCTTAGTCGTCCCCTCTCGCTCTGTCTGAGTCGTCCTCTCTCTGTCTCTCTAAGTCGTCCCCTCTCTCTGTCTCTGAGTCGTCCCCTCTCACTCTGTCTGAGTCGTCCTCTCTCTGTCTCTCTAAGTCGTCCCCTCTCTCTGGCTCTCTGAGTCGTCCCCTCTCTCTGTCTCTGAGTCGGCCTCTCCCTCTGAGTTGTCCCCTCTCGCTCTGTCTGAGTCGTCCTCTCTCTGTCTCTCTGAGTCGTCCCGTCTCTCTGAGTTGTCCCCTCTCGCTCTGTCTGAGTCGTCCTCTCTCTTTCACTCTACGAGAACGAGCGGACACTGCGCGGCGCGTTACAATTTGAGATTGTTGTTAAAAAATAAAAACGTACATATGTTGAACTTATTTCGCACCACACGTAGCCAACCGTGCTAATCGGACGTGCGGGGGAAGGACAACAAACTAACCACAAAAAGCAGTTTAAAAAAAATAGTTTTCAATATAGATATATAATATGCGATGTTTCGGTCATCGTATTTACACGGTCGCTTTGTCGGAAGTCGGTTGTGCGGTGAAGTCTAAATTTGACGAATGTCACTCCTTGGAAACGCAATCCCTTCGTCGCGGCCGACTCACCGCTCGGCTCTGTCGCCAAGTGAGCCACGCGCCAAGTGAGCCACGCGCTCTGAGCGTCGAGTTCCGGCTCCGCTCGGGAATTTTTCCCACGTCGGGTTTCAGCAGCCCAGCCGAGGGCGCTACAAAGAGAACGCCGGTTCGCCCCCTAGTCGACACGCGCGCCCTGGCGTTGTGCTGCGTGAAGGTTGGCAGTGGTGCACCGGTGTGAGTGTGTTAACCGTACAAATTTGAACGTATTGGCGGTGCGACGGTGTGTATGTTAACCGCAATAATTGTGTATTTTAAATGAAAAACAAGAATAGGTTTTACCCTTTCTGGCAATGAAACAGGATTTGTTAAGATATTCAAACACCAAATAGATACCTTTTGCAAGGTATCAAATCTGCATTAACCACACACACGTGTGGCAAAACGCGAAAACAAACATGCCCTGATAATAATGTGCATTGTCTTTCAATCTGATTGGCCGACACAAAAAGGCAGCCTTCTTTAAGGACTCGTCTCACCAGTATCATACCAGAGAACGCTTAAAGGCGAACAGAACCAAAACAATGCGAGCATGAGAACACTTATAGCTCGGGTCGAGCAGTTATATATATGGCTAAAACCTATTATTTTTTTCATCATTTTGGATACTGGAAAAAAGATCTCATAGATACATTGTTTATGCTCACCGTGAATTGCAACCTCCGATCAGAACATCTTGCAGGGTTGTGCGTCAAAATCAGTTATCGTGATGTTGAAGCAGTCGGAAGACGAATGTTGTATGAGCGGCCGAACACGAAGCTTCGCAGTCTGTTGACGATTGGCTCCGTGTTCCAAAGACCTATTTGACTCTAGACTTACTAAACTAAAACTTTTCTTTTAACCAGGTCAGGCCCACTGAGCTATATCGCTCATTTTCAGAAGCGACCTGGCCACAAATAATATCTCAACGAAGTGGCTTATCACGTGGGAATGCATAGCAGCGAAATACTCTAAACGCGTGATGTTAATGATAAATGTGGAAAGAAAAACCGGAGGACCTGCAGAAAAATCATTGCGACCACGGGGAGAGAGAGACATGCAAACTGCAAATATACAGCAGGCGTCAGGATCGGGATCGAACCCACGGTCTCCTGTCCACCAGGCGGGGAGATCAAATCTCGCCACAGTGGCGCCCCACGGTGGCGAGACTTGGTCTGACGGTTCCTATATTCGTTTCCGTAATAATTTTCTTGGCAGACGTTGGAATCAAAAGGATTACGACTCGTGGTGCTGTCACCGCCACGCGTTCAAATGGCGAAAGCGACTTCCGAATCTAAGCACAACTTCTGATGGAAGAGTCTGCAGCTCGCTCAAGGGGCAACAGCGACATCAACAGTTCCTGCCTCATCCTTACCGAGTGGGTCTACAGCAGCACCGCGTGCCCCAGACCTATATGAACGGGAAAATATTGACATTTCATGAGCGACCGCCGTGTTGCTATGCGCGCTGCACCTGTGCGTGCCGCCAATTAATTCCGTCCGAACGCAACACGATGGTGCGCGTGTGGTCGTCACGGGGCGGACGGCCAGAGCGACAAATGCTCGCCCGCAGATTACGAAGGCGCCACGTCACGGCGGTCGTTGCGCGCGCGTCTCCAAAAACACCCCCAAATACCCAAAATACCAAACATTTACAACCATCGACCGCGTCAGCGGCACGGCCGCACGGGCCATGACGAACCGCGGTCTCTGCTACGTGGAGTGTGGTTATTTTTATTACTAGTATAATTGTTTGATTGGTATGCTTGTTTTCTCTGCAGCAGAGTCTCACGGAGTCACAAGACTCTCTTTCAGGAGGGTCCTGCCGAGTTTGTCGCGGTAGGGTGGGAGTGGGGGAGTGAGCAGGCGATAAGTCTACAGCCGTGAGAGATCCCAGTCGAGTGATTTGCAGGTAGGTTTTCGCCATTAGGATGGTTTGGGCCGATAAAAGTTACGTAATTTGGGGTGGGAAGTTTTTAGCTATGTGAGGAAACCGGAAAAAACCGGAAGAAAGCTATGAATATCCAGAGGGAGATTGTAATCACAGCATTAAGTGTCCTGGTTCGATTCCCGACTCGGGTGACTTTCTGTGTGGAGCTTGTGCTCCTAAAAACTAAACCATTTATATTTTACCAGGTAAGACCCACTGAGCTGTATAGCTATTTTTCAGAAACGATCTGGCTATCACAAATTTAAGCTCAACTAAGTGGCTTATCACGTGGACATTTCTCGCAGCCAAATAATCCAAACGCGCGTTTTATATGTGGAGGGAAAACACCCGAGGACCCGGAGAAAAATCCACGCGACCACGGAGAGAGAGAGAGGGAGACATGGACACTCAAATATACAGCAGGCGTCAGAGTAGGCCTCAAACCCACGACCTCCTGCATTCCAGGCGAGGTCATTAACATCTCGCCACCGTGGTGCCCAGTTATCATTGCACCATCCTGACAATTCTTGCCTGGCACCAATAATTGATGCACAAAAAATGTTGAGTATTTAACCCATATTTATGCGCGTGAATTTATTATCAGAGTGGAAGTTCGCTAAACTAGC